CAGCAGCAGCAGCAGCAGCAGCAGCAGTCGTACAACCTACGACATTCGATGGCGGTGCCGCCTTCAGCGTACTACGATGCGCAGTCGGCCGACGACGGCGGGTCGAGGCAGCAGCGGTCGGACCAGCGGCTGAGCATGATCCCACCGCAGCTTGCCAAGCTTGGACTGGATGCTAGCATGGCGGGCGCGCAGAACATGGCGTCCATGGTGAATCGCGACGATCCGCTGCGCGAGTGGGAGCGGCGGCAGAACGGGCTGGCGCCCTCATCGGCGGCGACGTCGAGCAAGCAGCGTCGACAGAGTGCGGCCAACTACCAGCAACTGGATCTGCTGCAGCAGCAGGCCGAACTCGGCGGAGGCTGGGATGCAAACATGCTGGGAAAGACGAGCGGGAGCGGCGGAGGCGGAGGCGGCAGCTCGTTTTCGGTCGTGGTGGATGGATCGCAGGATCGGCTGGGACAGCCACGCAAGGATGGCGGCAACAACAGTCTGGGTGGTCTGTCGAGCACGGGCATTACGCAGCCTCCTGCAGCATACGGCTCGGCGTCCGGATCGGGTGCGGCGGGTGGTATGGGTCGTTACCAGGGCAGCGGTGGGCATCTCATGGGCGGAGGTTCGTCGCCTGGTCTCGGATACGGCATGTCGGGACTCAACGGCGGAACAGCCATGGCCGCTTCGCACAGCGGCGGTGGGGCCAATGCGAATACGCTGCCGTTCGACATTTACGATGCGGGCATGGCGAATCTGTTGCCTCCATCGCTCACGCCCGTGCGCATCCAGGACCGCGACCAGGGTGCGATGCAGTCGAACCAGCAACAGCAGTTCTTGCAGCAATTGCCACTCCACCAACAACAGCAGTACGCCGCACAGCTGCAGACCAGAGACAAGCAGCGCCGCGATGCAAGTGGTGGCAGTGGCGGCATGATGGGCGGATTCGGGTTGTAATGTCGCCAAGTGCCAATACTAACTTTATGCTCAAAACGATCGTTCAGGTTATGTGGCTATGAGGCCGGAGGTGAGCGCCATGGAACCGTTTAACACCACCAACGACGATATTTCGTACAGCGGATAATTGTATCGTGTGTCGATGAGGCCAAGGAGAGGTTGGAAGCGCATCCAAGGGCTTGCAAGGGCGCTGTATGTCGATGCCATCTTTCCGCAATATCGCCCAGTGCCAATACTATCTTTATGCTCAACGCATGTGGGTAAGGTGGTTGGTATGAGCAAGCGATGCGGGGCCGAGGCACATGCGTCTTGCACGGTGCCTTTCCAGAGCCAGCCGAGCACTTGTGTAATAACGCGCATCTGCAAGCTAGATTCATGTGGATGCGCCGACAAACCCATCGATACGTATGAGGGATGGTATTGCGCATCTACAAAGGTCGAGGTGAGATCGGCGAGGTGATGTCGAGCGCGTGCCAGAGCCAGCAGAGCACGACGTTAGTTCCACCCTTCCAAGCAGAGGACGGGCAAAGGCACTTCCTCTCGACACACCCACCTCTTGCTGCGTAGTCTGAGGCGGCAGTCAATATCGCCCACGACGGCGGGCCGTGGATGATACGAATTGGACCCGGTGCAAGTGCCTTGGCACGATTACGGCTTTGAAAGTGGTCTGGTTCAAGCTACGAACGCAAGCGCAAAAGTGCCATGGCATCGTGTGTCTACGAGGCTGAAATGAGCGCGCATTCGCGTACTAGTGCCAGCAGAGAGTTAGTAGCGCCCCCTTTGCACGCCTAAGCCATCTTTCCCCCCAACCCCACGAGGCGCTTGCGATGGTGTGACTTGATCGATTGGTCGAGTTGAGCAGCCTCCGCCTTTTTTGTTTCCAGACGAGATCGTCCGTAGTGCGATTCCGCCCGCCAACTCTCTCGATCAAGAAGCGTTGGTTTTCTGCGATGATCGTGAGGACCGAGGTGCGAGCTTAAGGCATCCAGCCGAATGAAGAGCAAGATGCACGTCCATCGATCTTTCAAGATGCACTTGTCGACCTTGTTGCATCAGACGTGCGTGCAGTCCAGCCAGTCAATTGTCGACAGCCCGACTCACGTCTCGGACAGGTGTTGGTATTGCGTGTCTATGAGGACGATGACGGCGCGCAAGACCAGCGCTCGGTATGGAGGTGGATTTGGCGGGCTGGAACAACGCCCACCTGTGCACGCCAATGCCAGATCGATGCTCGACCCCTGTTGGTGTTGGCAGCGCTGTGCGGCAGGGTGAGCCTGTGCATTGCGCGCGACACAGAAGAGCCAGGCATCAGAACCTTGTCTGTGGCTGTACGGACCTGCTGCAGGTTTCGGAGACGGTGGGTTGAGCCCAGCGCATGTGAGCGTGTGCGGGGCAGCCGCCTCGTGGTGGAGTAAAGAGTTGATAGCGCATCCCACCGCCCGCGTAGTGAGTGCTTGTCCTGTGAGCAGCGGTCGGATGTGGCACTACGAGACTGCGGCGCGTGCCTACGCCGCCGAGGTGAGCGCGGAAGCGCAAGCATCTCGCAGGGCGCGTTCGAGAGCCAGCAGAGCATGCGAGTCCTGCGGAGCCTGAACCTGGCCTGTGGTGGCGAGCAGCTGCTGCGGCAGATCCAGCGACAGCAGCAGTTGTGGAACTTGCAGCCTGCGAGCGATGCGTTTGGACCAAGCTGCACTCATGCCTGCGCTGGCAGCGGGTAGAGTGGACGAGACCGAGGTTGCCAGTGGCTGTGCATTGGGCGGGACCATCGCCAGCGCAAAGTCGGCACCAAGCACCCCTGACACTGCCGACTCTTGCGCGTGGCCTGCGAGCAGCGTACGTGCGTGCAGTGGCGACACCGAGGTGCAGTGCACAAACAGGCTGCTCGACGACGCCGAGCGCAGATGGATGACTTGTGTGAGAAAGTGCGTGAACTGTGCGTGTGGGATCGTGAGGATGTGGTTCGTGATCGAAGCGCCTGAAGGTGCGCCGTTGGATTCGAGTGTGACCGTCATTCTGCGTCTGTGGTGGCAGCGATCACCAGCGCGGCGAGGGCGAGTGTCGAGATGGTGTTGCGAAACCAGAGGGGTGTTGCTTCCGAGCCGGAACTACACATTGGCCGGTGCGGGCAAATTTGGTATGTTAGACCTCTGTAGATACCATCTGTGAGCACAAAAAATTGATTCGATCAAGAAGCAAAAGACCGAGTCACGTGATGCCGGACGGAAGCGAAGAAAGCGGAGCCCACTTTTCTTCGTGCGTGAACCCGGCTGCTCACAACCGAATCACCACCACCACCACCTCCTCGCTTCAACCATGTCGGCAACCATGTCGGCAACACGAACGTTGGCCACTGGGCTGCGTGCGCTCACGCTCTCTTCGACCGGCGCATCCACATCCACCGCTTCATCGGTCGCCGTGCGCCGTGCGTCCACCTCGTCCTCGGGAGCATCGTCGTACGAGCGCTCGCGTGTTCCACGTCTGCCGCCCGTTGCGCCGCTGCCCTCGCGGCTCAAGCCCACCTCGCCCGCCTACTTCACCGGTCGCCCAGCGTATATCGACACGCTGCTCGAGCTCGAGGAGCTCACACGCCAGACCAAGCGTGCGCTCGAGCAGGCGCACCTCATTGCGCCCAACGCCGCCCCACCCTCGCTGGCATCCACGGGCGCCTCGGCCTCGCGCGCCAACCTGTGGGTGAACACGGAACAGCTCCAGCTTGTACTCAACACCAACCTCAAGGCCGCACAGTACCGTCAGATCGTCTCGCGCCTCAGCCTGCTTGCGCGCTACGCCTCGCTCGTCACGCACCTCGAGTCGCGTCCCGAACTGCACCACGTTCTGGGCGGCGACAATGTGATCCAGCGATTCCACACGACGCTCGAGCGCTTCATGAACGAAAACGCCAAGACGAACAACCTGCTTGCCGAGAAGGATGCCGACCGCGCGCTGTGGACCGCGTCGGAGCGCAAGGTGGACCGACAAGGTCGCGCCTACTCGCGCGGACGGCGCAAGGAGAGCTCGGCACAGGCATGGCTCATCCGTGCCAAGCCCGACACGCTCGGCCAGATCCTGGTCAACAACATGCCCATTGCCGACTACTTTACGCGCACCGCCGAGCGCGAAACCGTCACATGGCCGCTCAAACTCACCTCGACTCTGGGCACGTACAATGTCTTTGCGCTCGCGCGCGGCGGCGGCAAGAGCGGCCAAGCGGGTGCCATTGCGCATGCCGTCGCCAATGCCATCGTCGCCGAAACCGCACACGGCCTCGAGTTCGAGCAAGGCATCAAGCTCAAAAAGTACGCAAGGGACGTGCTCGCCAAGGACGGCGTGCTCAAGAGAGACCCCAGGATGGTCGAGCGTAAAAAGACCGGCCTGGCAAAGGCGAGAAAGGCGTTCACCTGGGTCAAGCGTTAAAACGTGCGTCACAGAATGCACAGTCGAATCATTTGTCAAACGAGTATGGAGCTTGAGAGCCGTGTGTGCTGAAGCGCATAAGCCACAAACCCGGGTATCAGCAGTGGCACAGCTGAGCTGGGCGTGGATGCAGGAGCTGATGTGCATGCTCTAGCGTGTGATCGAGGATGGTCGGTAGGGCTCGTCGCCGACGACGATGCATGTGCTCCTGTCAGCACCTGTGAAATTGGGCTTGTGAATGGAAGAAAGGGACGCCTGAACCAGACGTACCTCGAGCTCTATGATACCACCAGCGAGTGGGAAGGTGTGAGTTAGCTTTGCCTCGGCCACGCTAAGAGCGGGCCTCTGAGGAGGACACTCATGCCCCTTGCGTGTGTCCGCACCAAGCACGAGCCCCAACCACGGACGGTCCTGTGTGCATTGGCGCTGGGGCATGGTCCTTTCCTGCGCCGCTGACACCGGCACTGTCGCTCGGACGACTTTGTGCGGCGACCTTGCCGACCACTGCGATTCCCCGCCTTGATCAATGCGTCGCCGAGCAAGACGCCGGTTGGCACCCGATGGCTCTGGATCAGCCATCACCTTGCGTAAAGGGATTTTCATCCGCAACTCACACGAATCGCTATCAGCACCGTATCGAGATGCGCCGGCTTGAGAATGACGACAGCCATTTGGTTGCGATTGCAGCATCAACATCCGCATGCCTCGGTGCTCAGCCCCGTATCTGCGCCGAATCCAAGCTCACTTGCCCGGCATCAAAGAAAGGCGGCGCGAGTGTCATGTGAGCATCTCGGCTTCGGCGCAGGGCAACTTGGGATACACATGCTCTTGTCAAAACCCTTCCGACGCTCTGCCCTCCCAGTGCAACGAAGGCTGTGGGTCGAATTGGTGCTCTTTGTCAAGAAGTCGATCGACACTGTTCTAAAAGCTACGCCATCTCGCAAACAGCATGATTCTTTCAGCGAGTGTTTTGTAACTGCGATGGTGTCGGAGGTACTCGGACCCTGTACAAACACCACACAGCCTCGGCCGCAGCCTCTGCAGTGACCCGCTCACACACATGTCTGCGCAATTTGTCACTCGTTCGATAGACGTCAAGAGAAAACGATGCCACTGCGCGCACCACCACTTGCGAAAGCAGAGTGACCTTGCCTGCATCACCGAAAATCTGCCGAGGGGAAAAGCAGACTAGAAAGGGGGAAGCTATGTATGCGATCCTCGGCCGTCTCACTCGACGCTCGACCAACACACACACGGCCATCTCTCCCAGCCTCGGCTCCGTGTCTGCGCCAATTGCAAGCACCACTCATACTCGGCAGCAGTGAACCAAAAGCAATGCCATTGCGATGTGAAGACCCCAGCTACGAAGCAGGACTGACCATGCGAGAAGAAGAGACTGGGGAAAACATTGGGGGAATAAGCAGACTGGAAGGGGAAGATCGTGTATGCGATTCTGAGCCACGCAGCGCGGCTCAGAGGAGTGGAGAGAAGGAGGGGACTGAGAGAGAAACGGATACTGAAAAAGAGAGTTGTAGTCGAGACTAGGACATGGGCTGGTCGCCCCAGTCGAGCGGCGGCGGGGGAGCGGAGGTGGAGGCGGTGGTGGGGCGCGAATTGGGTGCGCTCGGCGTGGCAAAGTGTTGCGGCGAGGATACAGGCATAGCAGCCGCGAGTTGGCTCGACGCCATCGAGTTCGCCAGCGCCAAGGTGTTGTGCGTGCTGCTCTCCGGCGCGGGGTGGGAGGCCATGCGCGCGCGCAGTCCGCCGGCGGACGTCGGTTTGCGTACCAGCGGCGCATAGAGGCTGTTGGGCATGGCGCCCAGATCGGCCGACTGGATCGACGACACCTCGCTCTCGGACGCCGACGACGACGCGCGCTGCTCGCTGCCCGTCCACGCATGCTGCGAGTCCGACAGGCTGCTACCCACACTCGTGTCGCGTCGGCGCAGCTGCAAATTCGCAAGCGGTCCCGCCATGCTTCCGAGCGAACTCTGCGTGCCGGAGCGCGGACGGCTGCCTCGCACCACACCGGCTAGACCCAAGCCGCGCGGGCCGCCTGCCGAGCCAGCCCCAGCGTTGGCAGCCCACCATGCTTGCGCCGCGTCCGCATCGCAGTCGCCACCCACATCGAGCATCGACTCTTCGCGAAACGTGCGCACCGCCTCGAAGATCTTGACGACGCGCTCCAGGCTCTCGCCCATCCTCTGCGATGCTTGCACCTTGGTCGTCGCGCACGCCTCGGGCAACGCATCGCGCACCAGCTCCGCCATGCGCTCCGCAAGCATTCTGGCCAGACTCCGCAGCGCAGGCATGCGCTCGTCGGCCACATCGTCGCCAATCATGCCGTCGAGCTTGTTGAGCAGCTGCCGAAAGATGATGCCGTCGGCGCGCAGCACCATGCCCTGCAGCATCGCGTCGGCGTGCAGCGCCTCGCGCGAGGCCGCACTCAGGCTAGTCCAGAACAAAGTGGTTCGCTGTTCAAACGAGACAGGGTCAGGACCGAGGTAGATCGAGTAGAGCAGTGCCTGACAGAGGGACTCGTACTCACGCCAAGCCTTTCGCGACTCCGCCGGCAGACTCGCGTTGCCAGCCGAAGCGCCTCCCGACGCCGCCGCGGGCGTCGACGTTCCGTAGGTCGAGCCCGAGCCCGCCTCGCCACCCACCGTCGGCCAGTCCGGCAGATCCTGGCACGAGCGCCGGAACGGCATCGAGCTCGGCATGTGCCGCGGATCCTGGATGTACTGGTAGCCATGCAGCGACGACGCCGGGCTGTTGAGCAGCGACCCCGACTGCGCTGGCTCCGCAATGCCCGACACCGCCCCGACGCCAAAGCTCGACACTTCGCTAGATGGCAGACCCGCCGCATCGCCCGCCTCGCTCGACGCGTGCGCCGAGGGCGCAAAGCCGAGATCGCTGAAGCCCGAGTACGAGTGCGAGACCGTGTGCCTCCTCGGCATGAAACCGGTCGTGCTGCTCGAGGCGGCGGGCTCTGCCTGACCCTGCGAAAGCGGTTGTGCCTGCGTCGAGAAACGCAAGGCGTCCTGCCCCGCATAGCCGGCACCCGAGCTCGTGCCGGGAGGTGTGAGTATGGCGCTGTTGAGCGTCGCAAATGCCGAGGCGATCAGCCGGTTGTCGGTGCCCATGCCGGTGGTGCCGAGCACACTGCCGTCCAACGAGGCGTGCGGCGAGTGCTCGTGCTTGAGCGCACGGCCCGCGTTCGTGTGGCCTTCGCCTGGCGACGCCTCGGCCGAGCGTTGCGAGCGGTACGACGTCTCGCTATCCTGCCCCTCGGAGCGCGCTTTGGCGCGAGCCTCGGAGGCGTACTCGGCACTCAGCCCAGCGCTCAGCTGCAGCTTGCCCGCCTTCTCGTCTTCGAGCAGCGACTTGACCTTGATCGCCTCGCGCTCGTTGGACGTGCCGAAGCCGCAGTAGTGGAAGCGCGTCTTGCCGCGCCCGCCGAGCCTGCGCTGCGCCACGTCGGGGAACTGGCTGCGAAGCACCTTGCCAAACGACGCTGCCTGCAGCGGCTCCAGGCCAAAGGCGTCGCACGCCCGGCGATACGACTCGTGGAGGATCGTGCGCGGTATCGAGATCTGGATCGACGGCTTTAAGGTGTAGTTGCACGTCAGCCTGTGGCGCATGAAAAATGGTAAGAAGAGTCTTTGGCGTCAGCGAAGAGTGTGCAAGTAAAGCGAGCGAGGCCGGATACGTACCACATACGAGCCCACTTGTCGCGGTAGAATTCGGCCATCTTCTTGGTGTTGGCCGTCTTGTAGAGCGTCGAGACCTGGCCGAGCATGCTGTCGATCTCCTCGGGCTGGTACTCTGGCTGGGCGGCGGCGGCGGCGTATGCGCCAGCGCCGCCGAACTTGGACGAGGAGGCGGCGTACATGGGGTAGGCAGGGGCGGCGCCCATGTGCGAGGCATAGCCGCCGTGGTCAAAGTGATGTTCGCCCGACATGTCGTAGTAAGCCTGCGAGCGGTTGGGACTGGTGTTGGCCGACGATGAAGAGGTGTCGTAGATGGCATTCTGCGACATGGACATGCCGCCGGGCGCCGACCACGAGCCTGCACTCGTCTGGACCGGATAAGCGTACCCTCGATACGGCATTTCTGCTTGCGGCTGCATCGTCTGCCATGTGGAGCCGGACGCAGTGTCGAAGGGATGCGATGGTGTGGCCATGCCCATCTTGGAGGCGTCGTGCGCGCTGCTGACGCCAAAGTGCGTGGCCCTCGGTGTGTCGGTCGACATTGCACCTGGTCCGCCGTGACCAAAGGCATCCATGGTACCGGCGGATGCGAATTGCGTCGAAGCATCCATCTGGTCCCTGGGGAACGCAGATTGGCGTGGAGTCACGACATTCGGGCCGAGGTAGACGCCCATCTGGGATCCGAGCATGGAGGGCTGTGCAGCTGTCTGCAGCGGCTCGGGGCGGAGCTGAGAGGAGGAGGTGGTGCTGGGCGGTAGCTGGGCATACAGATCGGGCCTGAGCTCGCCAACGCCAGGCTGCTTGGCCTGCTCCCACGATCCATCGGCAGTGCCAGGTCGGTAGGGCGAGCTGGAAGCGCTGGCCGTGTTTGTGTAGTATGGGACCGACATTGTGAACCTCGTCGGCTTTGCGCCGGACGGAAGACGGTCGATGCGCGGAGTGGTTGCGCTTTATGTCCTGGAGCGTTGCTCCCGCGACTGCTACGGTTACCCGACAGCGGAGCGGTTGGATGCAAAGCGAGCGCGCAGGCGCACAGAGTGGTGCTGTCTCGTCTCTGGCAGACAAATGCGACCGGAAGTGCGTTGCTCCGAGAGGCCGGCCCGGGCGAGACACGCAGGTCGGAGCGGTCAGTGCAGCGAATGTGTCGAAGGACGACAACGGCTCTCTCCGACGTTGGTGTAATGTTTGGCACTGTACGAAGGGGAGAGAAGAAAGAAGGCAAGCAGCGAGGGATGACAGGAGCAAGAGGTAGAGGCAGTCTGGAGTCAGCGTACAAGCTCGTCGCAACGCATCGTGCAACAAGTGCGGGTCTGAGGATTCGAGTCAGAGTGCGCCTCGGTTTTGTGTTGGCCGCACCGTCACCGGTGTGCATAGTCCATGTCGAACATGGTGCGAGCGACCAGATCGGCATGGTCATGGGACGCCAGACGCACGACGTACGACATGAGGACAGCAGGACTGGAGCTGTAGCTGGCAGCTCTGGACGACAAGGAGAATGGACAGCATCGCCGGAAGAGCAACGTGCGAGGATCCTTCGGAGAAAGCCCGAAAGCGATGCCTCGGAGATGCTTGCCTGCAATGCTGAGCTTGAGCCCGAGGTAGAGCTAGATAACGCTGCGACGATCACACCATTGGGAGACGAGAATGTAGCCGCGCACGGAGGGAGTGGCTCGGCGGAACACGTCGCGGCGCGGTCAAGGACGAAGACGCATAGCGATAGGCTCTCGACGCGTCGACTCTTCTAAGCGACGGCAGAGGCCGCGGAGCGTGGACAGGTGCGAAAGGCCCACATCATCGATGGTCAACGAGGTGAGGCTGTAAAGCCTAGCGTGAGAAATGTGTGTCTGCCTGCACGCGACAAGGGGTGGGGCAGAGGGTCGTAGGTTGCACTTAGACCCACCGCCTCGGATTTGGCCTTGTAGCGGGGCCAACTTTGAGTGCTCCCCACTGCCCAGTAAAGGCTGGCGAGAAAGTGTGCCAAGACTGCTGCCAAAGCGCAGCCCAGCAGTCCCGAGGCATCTGATGGCGCTGCGTTGCCACAGAGACCGGCGGCGTTGAGCTTAAGACGTTCTGGAAGCGCGATATGGATCGCCGATTCCTCGTGTCGAGTGTGCGCCGACCTCTGCATCGCATCGCACGCTGTGTCGAAAGCCGAGACAGTGTCGACATGATACCTGCGCCCAGCACCGTGCGTGTCAAGTCAACCACAACGAAACGAATGAATCCAACATCGCCATGTCGCCATGATGCATGGCTACGGTGCCGTCGTAGTCTAGCACCATGAGCCAATGCGCTGAGGCCAAGTCGACGCCGTGCCTGGGGGGGGCTACGTTGGCGCGCCTTGAAAATTGGACTTTTCGTATATTTTTTT